ATCGTCTGCACGAGGACACCTGCGAGTCGTCATCGTCTCTACGAGGACACCTGCGAGTCGTCATCGTCTGCACGAGGACACCTGCGAGTCGTCATCGTCTCTACGAGGAGAGCTGCGAGTCGTCATCGTCTCTACGAGGAGAGCTGCGAGTCGTTGTCATTGGAAGCCTGGACCTGGTCTCTCTATGCCTCTCTTTACCTTGAAGATGAATTTTTTGATCCAGGGTCTCTGGGACAGGAAGTCCAGCATGGAGAAGCCGGGGTTCGGCCGCACTGCTGACATGGCCACCCAGTAACCTCCAGTCGAGCTTGGACGAATGTTGTCGGGAAAACCGGGCAGGTTGTCAATGAAGGTGTCCATCCCGCCCTTGTTTAGACCAGCAACATGGACTCTGATGTGGAAACACAAAGTTCACAGAAGCCGCTTACTGACCTCATTTTGTCCCAAATCTCAACTCCAGCTTTCAGCATTTCTAAACACTGACTGTCTTTAGGTTGCGCTACGACTACAGTTCACAATCAAGAGACACCAGCCTCGATACAATATAAATGGTTCATTAAATAATATAATGTAGTAACAAGCAGATATAAGTCTTATTTAATGTATTTATCTACATCTATAACTCCATCAGTGTTGTAGTATAAACACAATAGATGATTATCTAATAAAACAGCTGTAATAATATGAGATGTCTTCATGGTAGAACTTTTCATTTTATTATTTTATTTTATTCATTTATATTCCTTTATGTTTGTAGCACTTCATTTTATCTTATCTTAGTGTGTGAAGCACCTAGTATTGGAACTTTTCCTTGTATTTTTTATACTCCATGTATATACTTTCATGTATATTTCTATTTCTGAAATTGTATAAAACTTTATTTAGTATCTTTATTTTACAATATAGTTCAATGAAACATCTTTTATTTAGTCTAAACGTGTCCTATTGGATAATAGTTAACTATAAATGGAGTCAGGTGGGTTTACCTGCGTATCCGGGCCATGGTGGTCTCTGCCACCAGCACCGACTCCTCGTCAGGAAGCAGCTGGATGCCGTTTGGGAAGCGAAGGTTCTCCATCACCACCGTCAGCTCTCTGCTCTCGGTGTCGTACTCCAACACTCTGACAGGAGACAACACAACATCGCTGTTATCACACCACGGGGGGCTTTTAATGTGAAACAGAGACAGGAAGTCAGAGTTTCTTCAGCAGGGAGATTTAGAATGTCAAAATAAAATCAATCAATCTCTGATCTCTTCAGGTGAACGGTCTCTGATCTCTTCAGGTGAACGATCTCTTCAGGTGAACGTTCTCTGATCTCTTCAGGTGAACGGTCTCTGATCTCTTCAGGTGAACGGTCTCTGATCTCTTCAGGTGAACGGTCTCTGATCTCTACAGGTGAACGATCTCTACAGGTGAACGATCTCTACAGGTGAACGATCTCTGACCTCTTCAGGTGAACGATCTCTGACCTCTTCAGGTGAACGATCTCTACAGGTGAACGATCTCTGACCTGTACAGGTGAACGATCTCTGACCTCTTCAGGTGAACGATCTCTGACCTCTTCAGGTGAACGATCTCTGATCTCTTCAGGTGAACGATCTCTGATCTCTTCAGGTGAACGATCTCTACAGGTGAACGATCTCTGATCTCTACAGGTGAACGATCTCTACAGGTGAACGATCTCTGATCTCTTCAGGTGAACGATCTCTGATCTCTACAGGTGAACGATCTCTGATCTCTACAGGTGAACGATCTCTACAGGTGAACGATCTCTGATCTCTACAGGTGAACGATCTCTGATCTCTACAGGTGAACGATCTCTGATCTCTACAGGTGAACGATCTCTACAGGTGAACGATCTCTTCAGGTGGACGGTCTCTGATCTCTTCAGGTGAACGGTCTCTGATCTCTTCAGGTGAACGGTCTCTGATCTCTTCAGGTGAACGATCTCTGATCTCTTCAGGTGAACGATCTCTGATCTCTCGTCGTACCGTCCGTCGGCCGTGGCCTCCATGATGAGGTGCAGGTAGTCTCTGCGCTGCCACCTGCTGCTGGAGTCGGTGAAGTAAAGCTTCTTCCCGTCCTGAGTCACCGCCACGTCGTTGATGAACGACAGCTTCCTGCCGGCGACCACCTGACCCCCCGACACCAACCGGGTCGCCTCACCTGAAACAAAGAATCACGAGAGCGTCTCAGTAGCCAGGTTTCATCCACCGTCCACCAGTGTTATGTAGTTCATGGAGATGAGCAGCAGCTGGAAAACCATTAAACCACAGAAGAAGAAGAGGATGTAAATACTTCATGTGTTCATCTGTTTTATTCTTCAGTGGACGTTGAGTCACTTGATGCTTCATGTTCCTCATCGTTTATTCCATTTTACTTTATTGATACACCAACTTTTACACCTCAGACAAGAGGAACTTCAAGATTTTACCATTTTATTTTTAGGCATAAAAACTATCAAGAGCGTTTAATATTACGTAGTCACATCTTATGTATATTCATTTTGTGTTCTCTATAATATTGTGACATTTTATCATTGTTCAGGTAAATCAAACAAATCACTATGTGTAATATTAATTATCTCCATTATGTTTGTGTTTTTAAATTAAAACTAAACTAAACTGAACTGGATGGAAACGCAGATATTTATAATCTCTAAAGGAAATGTTCTCACAAACTGATTCCTCTTCAGAGTTTATAACCAAACCAAAGATCATCTTCTGTCACAAAAACTAAACGTAGAAGTCACTGCAGCTTTTGCTGCTTTGGGACATTTTTGTTTTCATTTAGTTTTAGTTTTTAGTTTCTTATATAGTTCATATTTTCTGAACATCGATGTTTTTATGAGAACAAGAATTGACCAGCTGAGAGAATGAACATGTGATAGTTGAGAAGGAGAAAGAGAAGAAGGAAAATGAGAAGAAGAAAGAGAAGAAAATGGAGAAGGAAAATGAAGGAGAAGAAAAAAGGAGAAGGAAAATGAGAAGAAAGAGAAGAAAAAGGAGAATGAAGGAGAAGAAAAAGGAGAAGGAAAGTGAAGGAGAAGAAAATGAAGAATGAGAAGAAAAAGGAGAAGGAAAATGAAGGAGAAGGAGAAGAAGAAAGAGAAGAAAAAGGAGAATGAAGGAGAAGGAGAAGGAAAATGAAGGAGAAGAAAAAGGAATATGGAGAATAATAAGAAAAGGAGAAGGAAAATGAAGGAGAAGAAGAGAAGAAAAAGGAGAATGAAGGAAAATGAAGGAGAAGAAAAAGGAGAAGGAAAATGAAGGAGGAGAAGAAGAAAGAGAAGAAAATGGAGAAGGAAAATGGAGGAGAATGAAGAAGGAGAATGAAGGAGAAGAAAAAAGGAGAAGGAAAATGAAGGAAAAGAAGAAAGAGAAGAAAAAGGAGAATGGAGAAGAAGGAAAATTAAGGAGAAGGAGAAGAAGAAAGAGAAGAAAAAGGAGGAGAATGAAGAAGGAAAATGAGAAGAAAAAGGAGAAGAAGGAAAATGGAGAAGAAAAAGGAGAAGGAAAATGAGAAGAAAAGGGAAGGAGAAGGAGAAGAAGAAAGAGAAGAAAAAGGAGAATGAAGGAAAATGAAGGAGAAGGAGAAGAAAAAGGAGAAGGAAAATGGAGAAGGAGAACAAGAAAGAGAAGAAAAAGGAGAATGAAGGACAATGAAGGAGAAGAAAAGGGAGAAGGAAAATGGAGGAGAAGAAAGAAGAAAAAGGAGAATGAAGGAGAAGGAGAAGAAAGAGGAGAATGAAGGAGAAGAAAAAAGGAGAAGGAAAATGAAGGAGAAGAAGAAAGAGAAGAAAAAGGAGAATGAAGAAGGAAGAGAAGAAAAAGGAGAATGAAGGAAGAGAAGAAAAAGGAGAATGAAGAAGGAAGAGAAGAAAAAGGAGAATGAAGAAGGAGAAGAAAAAAGGAGAAGGAGGAAAATTAAGGAGAAGAAAGAGAAGAAAAAGGAGAATGAAGGAGAAGAAAAAAGGAGAAGGAAAATGAGAAGAAAGAAGAAAAAGGAGAAGGAAAATGAAGGAGAAGAAAAAGGAGAAGGAAAATTAAGGAGAAGAAAGAGAAGAAAAAGGAAAATGAAGGAGAAGAAGAAAAAAGAGAAGGAAAATGAAGGAGAAGGAGAAGGAGAAGAAGAAAAATGAAGGAGAAGGAGAAGAAAGAGAAGTAAAAGGAGAATGAAGGAGAAGGAGAAGAAGGAAAATGAAGGAGAAGGAGAAGAAGAAGGAGAAGAAGGAAAATGAAGGAGAAGAAGAAGAAGGTCCAGCAGCACTCTCTGACCTGTGGTGGGGTTCACCTGGAACAGACCCAGGTAGGCGTCGGCCACAAACAGAGTCCCGTTGGGTCCGACTCGGATCCCCAACGGCCTCCCACAGCTGGACTCCTCCTCTCTGGAGCCTGCAGGAGAATAACACGTGACCGTCATCTCCTCTCAGAGGAAACACTTCATTCACGCAACAGAGACTTCAAACACGTGTTTACATTTAACAATGAAACGAACACATCACCATGAGAGCGTCCTGCAGACCTGAACGTTATGAAGAAGAGAAACAGGTGAGGGTCTGAGAGACGACTGCTGTTCAACTAAGACCAAACTAAACTGAATGAAACTAAACTTAACAAATTAACTAAAACTAAACTAAACTGAATGAAACTAAACTTCACTACACATAAAAAAACTAAAGTAAACTGAATGAAACTAAACTTCACTACACATAAAAACTAAACTAAAGTAAACTGAATGAAACTAAAGAAATAACGAGCGTCTTTACGTCATTAAGAGCAGAAACAATCGCCTTCTGTTGAACTTGTTGGATTCATAGTCAGTGTCATGAAAGAGAGGAAGACGCTCACTGGACCAGTTCGTCTTGTATTGCTGTCACAGTTCAGACACTTTATTGTTTACGTGTCACGTAATCTGTGAGCTTCCTGTTTGAAGACCCGCCACAATAAGCTCATTTTAAACCTCAGTGAGACTTAACGTTCTTCCAAAATAAAACGTCTTCTTCCCTGAACTCACTTCCTGTTTCACAATAAATAAAGGTCTCTTGTGGTTCGTAGCCCTCAGAGTTTGTGTTCTCTGGACGTCACGTGTTTGATCTCTGAGCTCTTTGTGGGTTTGGTGGAACAGGAAGCAGAAGTCAGAGCAGGTCTCAACGTGTCACTTCATTTGTTCGCTCGGCGGTTGAGAAACTTGACGTTAAAAACTCCAGAGAGGAAACATGAGAGCAGCTTCGAGGTCAGTGCCTTGCTATAAGTGTGTGTGCCTTGCTCAAAGGCACACTGACTGAAGACTGTGTGTTACAACTGAGTGAAGAGCAGCAGACACTTTATACCCCAGACACCATTTTACCTAAACTAAGCTTAACTTCACCACACATACAAACTTAACTAAACTAAACTGAACTAAACTTAAAAAGTGAACTAAAATAAACTAAACTGAATTCAACTAAACTATGGTTTCAGTTTTTTGTTGGTTTATAAACCTTGAAGTAAACTAAACAACATTAAATCAAAACAAACTGAATCTTAAACTAAAGCTAAATTTAAAGGAGCACTATCCGATCATTAGATATCTCCCAATCTTGCACCTTTATGTAAAATGAATTTAAAACTAATCCTAAACTTAAATCAAGTGCTTCTCGCACCACAGGGAAGTTTTCCGAGTCTCGTCAATGTGTGAATTCTTCGACCAATCAGCTTTACGATCTTCCCGTCAGCTGTTCCTGCGTACAGAACATCTGCAGACAGAATAGAAGAACATCTGTCAGCTCTCAGTCTTCATCGTCCAGCTTTAAACAAAATAACTCATTTATTATGATCTTAAACCTGGACTTTCAGATCTACATGAACTATTTCACAATAGGGTCAGAGTTTCTCAGACTCTGACCTCTGACCTCTGTCTGTTTAATCAGCTGGAAACCAAACTGATGAAATCTGATGAAACATTTTCACAAGTTTGTTTCTCCACAAACGGCAGCAGAGTTAGAGGGTCAGTGTGTTTCTTTACCACTGTTAACCACAGTCACATTTTACCTAAACTAGAGTTAAACACTGTCACATTTTACCTAAACTATAGTTAAACTAAACTAGAGTTAAACTAAACTAGAGTTAAACACTGTCACATTTTACCTAAACTAGAGTTAAACTAAACTAGAGTTAAACACTGTCACATT